TCACACACACACACACACGCACACACATAAAATAAATATATATATTTATGCAATATATATATAAGTATTTATATTTGCACATATATATTTCTTTTCATTTACTAGTAAATACACACACACAACACACACCACACACTCACACACACACACACACAAACAACACACACACACACACACACACACACACCACCACACACACTCAAACACGCACTAAGCACACTCACACGCACACGCCACATATACATGCGCGCACTCACCAACACCACACACAACACACACATACAACACACTCATATATATATATATTTTTAATTATTTAGATAGTTAGATAGATAGAGATAGATAGATTGATAGATAGTTTGATAGATAGATAGATAGAGATATGTATGCTTTATTATTTATATGTTTATGTATGTATAGCAGTAGTATTACTACTATATGTACTTTTCATGTCAAGTAATCTATTAGTATAAAATATTTCAGTTCACTTCATCGACAAAGGGCCTGTTATGTTTGAAATAATCCTCACTGTAATCATCTTTATAACTGCACCAGACACTTATTGCAAAAAAACGAATAGCTGAGCTTTATCTGTATTATAATATTAATGATAATGATGATGGTGATAACAGTAATAATTACCGATAATCAGTATTGCTGTTTTTATTATTATTTTTAATCATTATTATTATTATTATATTATAATCATTATCACTATCACTAATACTATCGCTGTCATTAATCATTATTAGTTTCGAGGAAAAAAATAGTCAGTGGTTAGTAACCGAGAACATTCAATATCAACAAAAATCAACACATTATTAGAACAAGTAAAAAGGATTGGAGATTAGAAATTGCCAAATTGGAAATGGGAGAGACGAGGGCAACTAATTGAAATGCGAAAAAAACGATTTAAATTCGAAAAGAAATGCTATGGTTGGTACTAAACTTAAAAGGTGAACTATTGTGAATGGCAAATCGATACGTATAGTAGCAATATCCCAATTTCATTTTCAAATGTAATAGCCTACACCATAAAGAAAGAAACAAAAAAACTCCGTCTGATATCCAGTATCGGGGGTCAACACTAACAATGATGAATAAAGAGCATTGATTACATTCCTGATACCCTTTCGTATATCTTCTTGCATAGCTAATTTACGATCCCGAAAGACCTCCATGATTAATGACAAATACGGACAAAAATAACACATTGCACCAACATTATACATCAGAGAGATAGTTAAACTGCTAAACACGGGAATATTTAAGCAAATAATCGTTATGGATTTCCATATTGATTTCGTTAGTAAATGCAATTCGAGGCCTTGCGTAAGTAGGAATTCATGTAAGTAATTCTCTATTCTCTTGAAACATTTCTAAAATACGAAAGAGAATAAAAATTTAATTTAAAAAAATGATGTCATGATATCCCTTATTGATACACATGATGTAATATAATGCATACGTGAGTAATGAGGTAACTTAACGAGAAAGACACCGGGGAAAGGTTAGGTCCTGGACATTCCAATAAGTTCGTGACTGGAGGTTTAATTTAGATCGTACATTCCAATAGGCGTTTGCAATTTATATTCTTAAGCATCAATTTTCATCTGTCTTCCATGGATAAGGACTCTCGAAATGTTAATTTGAGATGTGATCCGGGGAGGAAAAGAAAATCTAAGGGTTTAACGCTTGAAGATCAACGCTTTGAATTTGATCGAACAAACATGGCGCAGAAAAAAAAACCGTAGGATTATTTGACATCAAATTTTAAAATTCAAATTGGGTTTTTGAGGCTTGGCAATAAACACTGCCATGTCATATAACTTTAAAAAGAGAGAACGAGAATGAGAGAGAGAGGTTATAGGTAATAAGCTGGACGTGATTGAGTTCACCGTACCATACATTAAGGGAAACGGAGAAAATGTTTATTGACAGAATGAGGGGCAGATAAACAAACAAATGGGCTGAAACAGCAGATAGACTGGAAACAACCCAACCCATACCCAACCGCCTTAACCAACCAACTCACCCATTACAGTATTTTAACAAAAACACTCACCATATCACAGAACTCTGCCGAAAAAACAAAAAAACAAAGAAAAAAAAAAACCGCCACACTCGCAAAACCTTCCTTACCCCCAAAATTGCACTTCTGGTTCGGGCCACTAAAACCGCAGTGCAATGTCGTGAAGCAAAGGACCTCGGACTTATTCGTCTCGGCTAATTTGGTTGGTGTTTAGCTTAGACGCTGAGGACTGATGTACTGGCGCGCGAGGGGGGGGGGTGGGCAGCAGAGAGGAGGCGTTTCTTTGAAGGTGGGGATATGTGTGTGTGTGTTGTGTGGTGTGTGTGTGTGTGTGTGGTGTGTGTGTGCGTGTGTGTGTGTGTGACTCTGCGGTGTGTGTGTTTGTGAGAGAGATAGAGGGAGGACGGTGGGAGAGAGAGAGAGAGACGAGAGAGATGAGCCGAAACGATGCAGAGAGAGATGAGATAGAGACGAGAGAGAGAGGAGAACGAGAGAAGAGAGAGAGAGAGAGAGGGGGGGGGTGAATGTGATTATTAACCCTTTGCGCTTACCTTCTATTTGCGTTTTTTTTCAGTTGCGTATGAGCACAGTATGTGTAATCTTACTCGTGTGTATGTATGCAAATGATTAAGAATTTATATATGCTTATAAAAAAAATAATAATAATAAATAAAAAATTATAATCATCTTAATAATCGCAGCATTTCCAAATGATTTCCAAAGCACAGGCCTCCAACACGACGATATATTTCCCCGTTGTGTTACGGCGTCCAGCATCAGCCCCATTCTGGAAAGAGAGAGAACATGCTTAGATTTTTTAATGACTAAACATATCATATATATCTATGAATATATAAGTATATATTTCTATATCCATCTGTCTATCACTCTATATCTATCTATTGCAAAAAATGTATATGTATGTATATGTATATATATACACATACATGCATACACACACACACACACACACACACAAACAAACAAACAAACACCACACCACACACACACAAACACAAACACACCACACACACACAAACAACACCCACACACAACCCACACACACACACACTCACACACACACACATATATACATATACATACACAATATTTACAAATACAAAACATACACAATATAGTATATATTAATATATATACTTATATATAATGGTATATTATATATATATATATAGAATATATATATATATGTATATAATGTGTGTAGTGTGTGTGTGTGCTGTGTGTGTTGTGTGTGTGTGTTGTGTGTGTGGGTGTGTTATGTGTGTGTGTGTGTGTGTGTGTGGTGGGTGTGTGTGTGTGTGGTGTTACACACACACACACCACACACACACACAATATTATATATATATTATATTATATATACGATTATATATATAGATATATAATACTATATATATAAAGATAAAATATGAGGCAAATTGCAAAATGTTTATGAT